TGGCAATAGGTTTTTCGCTGAATGTTAAACAAGTGGCAGGGTGCGACTGAGCTGGCCGTGAGATGAGGCTTAGGACGGGGTGCCAGCGCGCTGATTAACGGAAGCATTACTCACAGCGAGGGGCGCTCAATCAAGTGAAAAATGCAAATGTTTCGAACAGCTAAAAATATCAACACAAAAGGGAAGTTGTAGACTATAAAAGCGGGCAACTGTAAGTGGCAGCAGTGGTGTCTTCTCTCCCAGCTTGCCAGCCGCTGATGCGCTTTGGCGCTGTTGCTGTTGCATTTATTGCACTTGTTAAGGCCAGCAGCTGCTGCAGCGGAGGGGGCCAACTCGGGAAGGCGGCAACGCGGCAGAAGCAAGTTAAAAAGTCATAAAATGATATTTATTTCATTTCGCTGCTGCGTAATGCGCACTAACTGGGTGGTGGTCTGCCTCGCGGGTGGCATAAGCAGCCACTAAGGCGCGGCAGCCGCTGAAGCCATCTACAGCAGAAGAGGAAGCAGCTGCAGGAGAAGCTGAAGATGTGCTATAGATTTGCTTTTTATGTGAAATTTATATTTCAGCGCCAGAGCGAGCAGAAGTCGGCAAAATAACAAAGAGTGAAACGGGCTGGCAGCTGGGCGGGAAGGGAAGGGATGCATCTTGTGTCTTGGGGCGGGGTTGGGCGCTCGCTTGCGTTTTGGATGGGGGCTGAAGCATTTTCACACAACTATTTGCCGCTTTTATACAGTTGAAGCTTTGACTTCTTGCCAGGGGTTGCAGAAAACGCTTTGGAAATGGCAATGGAAATGCTCTTCTCCATCCTTGTGGCTTTTTAATGTTTTCTTGTTAAAGTTTATTGAAAAACTTTGGACAGTCACGTTTGAGTAGTCAGCGGGTGCCCTGACTAACAGATATATACGTATACTGGTGCCTGTCCAGAAATGAAACAGCTGCACGAGTGCACGCCCCAACGCCCACGAAACTGGAGCAAAGCGATTTTTGCCGTTTCGTTAAAGGAAAGAAAAGAAAAGAAAAGAAAAGAAAAGAAAAGAAAAGAAAAGAAAATAAAAGAAAAAAAAATATATACATATAAAATATTTTCCGCTTTCATTTTTTAGGAGAGATAGATATTGGCGGCCGTGCGGCTTTGCCAGTTGCCTCTCTTAGTGGGCTTGGTCATGTTTGTTCATAATTGAAATTTCGCGCTAAACAGGAAGAAGATATTGTTCTCCATTCCCAAACACTTGTTATTCCAGAGTGCGCTGCCTGAAAGCTTCTCTTGCCAGGGCCAATCGGGGATGAGCGAGTGGCCGGCCAATGGTGTTCATAAATGCAAAAGTGCTCCAGTATTTATGGGGGAAAGTGCATTGAGGCAAATGAAGAGCACATGTTTTGAGAAACACGATGAAAATAGTCTACGAGGCTGCCTTTGTTTCGTCTGAAATCTCTGCGCCTGAGCGAGCACAATTTCAAGAAAAGAAAATAAAGCGATATAACATTTAAAGATTCATAGCGCACATTCTGTGTATTTTAAATGGAATTGATGCTCTTACTTATTTTCGTATAATCCTCTTGTGCCATTTACTTTCCTAGCTTTTGTCAGAAGTTGTTATCATTGCCCTTGGTTACAACTGCCAGGCAGTTATATATACATATATAAGTTAGTATCGCAAGCAAAAAAAGCAGCTTAGGCTGCGATTTAGCATCGTATATTTAACATACATGAACGATACCATATGATACCTGAACTTTAGTCAATGCCTTGATTTATTCTTTAACTGTAATGATATACCCGTGATATATGCATGTATATTTGCCCTTCTCCTGCATACTTTATGCTCTTTTCACTGCGTTTTCCTCAGCTATTCTAGCCCATTTATTTTCCTCTTTTGCTGCATGCGCCTGTCGCTGTCGTCTGTCCTCTGTCGTCTGTCAAGATGCATCGCCAGTTGTTCCCACTTTGTATTGCTGCCCCTGAGCTCTACATATACACATGCTGCATGCAGCTCCATCCTTGCACGTACTCCAGTGTGACATGTGCTTCCTCTGTTGTATTTTTGTTGGCCTCCCCACAATATTTTTGCTGTTATTTTCCACATGTGAAATTGAACTTTGCATCTTGGCGCAACGTGGCAGCTACAAACGCAACGCCATACGATTTTTTGTTTTCGTCTCTTTTCTGTTCTCGGCTGCGTCCACATTCAATGCTGCACTTGACTTGTGGCGCCCTCCATCCAAAAGTATTGCTCCCTTCCTCCATATTCTATGCTTGTGACGTTGTTTTGACACTGCGAACGCGCGCGCGTGCTTATAAATAAATATATACCATATATATACATACATATTCATATGCATGTGTATGTTATATGTATGGAAATATGTTTGGGAAATATTTCCACGCTTCTGTTCCCTGTTGGCTGGCAGCGCACATGTGTCGCATTTGGCTGATGGTTAGGCAGGTCTGGTGGGGACTGCAGGGGTGCAGCCCCTTCTTGTTTTCCCTTTGAAGTTCATAAAAATTAACAAAAAATCAATTTAAAACACAAATGAAGCGCTGATGAGGACGCACAATGACTTTGAATGCCGCTCAAGAAATGTTTACATTACAATTGAACTGTGCGGCGCCTGTGATCTGAGCTGCCACGCCCACAGTAACTAGGGGTTGTTGCTTGTTGTTGTTGTTGCTACGAAATACTGTTGCGCGTGTTGATTGCCCATCAAAACAAAGCCTGGCACATGAGGAGCACAGCTTGAGATTTGCATAGTGCGCTCAGTCCAAACGAGCGCAAATAAATCCACTGCTAATGCCAAGAGCTTCAAACCGATATATATATAAATATTTATGCGTGTGCGTGTGTGTATGTGCATAGTCGTGTCGCAACAACGACGTGCAACAAAAAACTTGTGAACATAAAAATAGCGACGATTATGATGAAAATATTCATGCGGCAAACGGAAGCCGTCGCCAAGTGCCATGGCTATGTCCCAGGAGCCACACATTCGCAGCGTGTCTCCGACCGCCCGCTTTCCAGAAATATATATACATATTTGTATATCTATTATATATATATATATATATATATATGTGTGTGTTTGTGTATTTTGCAGCAGTGTAAGTTGCTTATGTTCCAACGTTGGGCAGCCCATTCGAGTTCCACTTAAGGCGTCATCAGTGCCAAATGCGGCACTATCGAGTGGGGCAACTCTTGAGATTCTCAAAAGTCAAAAGATAGCAATATCCAAAGTAACGGTCGGCATTTTAAGCTCTCGAGTACCGCCCGCTAATAAGTGAAGAAGAAACAGCAGCAGCAGCAGCAGCAGCACACATAATTAAATTTAATGCTCAACGCACAGGGTAAAACGCAGGCCAAAGCAGACAGTCGATTGGTTGGTCGGAGTAGGAGTAGGGGCTGTGGCAATGTCTTTATCCAAGCATCGAAATTCAATTTACTACAAAATCCCGCGCATTGGCGTGGCAATGCCAAGCGAAATAGAAAATGCCAGAAAATGTGTCTCGTTTTGGCCAAATCCTGTCATAAATTGTGGCACAGCCCAAAAAGCCCGGCAACAAAAGACAGACGCCCGGACTATATCCAAAAAGAAAATATGCTGATGTCGATGTCGAATTATGATTTGTTTTTCTTCTTTTTTTTTCGAGTGGCTGCTATCCCAAAAAGGGCAGGAGCCAGGCGGTCGCCCGGGGAAATGAGAAATGACCGATGTTTCTGCTGTTCCTGCTGCTGCCTCAAGGTTAGATACTCTACAATAATCGGAGCGTAAATTACAACAACCAGTTGATGGCATCGTAAAAAGCACTAGGCACCAAGCTGTAACAACATAGCAACACTTAAACACATACACTTACACACACACGTATGCACTCTCACACACACACACACACATATACTTGCAGACACTCAGACACATGCTCGACCTCGCAAATTATAAAGTTGTTTGGCCAAAACTGCTGGCTGGCAAGTTTTCGTTTAAGTTTTCCCTTTCTTCACATGGTTTTTTTTTTTTTTTTGGGGAAAAAATCTGCAGCACGTTTTATGTAACGCACATTGATAAGCATTTTGGCAGTCGGTGAATGATTTGCAAGTTTGCACAAAATGCTTGCACAAGCCATCGTTTTGTGCAAACGTGTGCGGATATCCAGCATCGAAGCTGGGTCGGCAGGAGGCGGAGCCAGGCATGGCCAGCCCATGTTTCGTTTGTTGGTCAGACACATAAAATAGAAGGCAAGTAACTTGCTGCAGGGCACAGCTTTGCATATCTCAACATAAAATGCTTAAAGTATTTTTTTTATTTTCCTTTGGCATATGGCAAACGAGTAAATATGATTTCAAATGCCAGCGATTGCAAGGAATCTAATTCAATATCTGAAGTACTTGCAAGGATTCCTTTGATTGTGCTATGATATATTTGTACCCGTTAGCTTGCATATAGGATTCAAAAGAGTATGATCGTGAACATGTATGCTAAGAATGTGGTTAGTTAATAGATAAATCTGCAAATAGCTGACTGATTGGTGATCAACGCATAGCCCAAAGGGCTAGAAAGCTGAAATTTGGAATGTAGTTATTTTATATGAACCATTTGCATGGACTATGTGGAAATTGTTTCCGGCTGTAACTCAATTGCAAGGATCTTTATAAACATAAACAGTTCACCCATCTTTATTAGAAAGTGGTTTAGTTTTGACTTTAAGCTGCGTTTAAAAGATTGGGGTTTTGCCAATGTAATATTCAAATTTAACAGTATGCAACAGAATCAGTTAAGATACTGGACATTTGTGTATAATATTGTATTCCAATCCACCAAATTTATAAGTCGGCCTCAATGAAAATGAATTTAACCAAGCATTCTGGATGCGCACGTATGCACATACAAACATAGATAAACATAAATACAAATAAATATGTGCGTTCATATATGTAGGTGTACATCAATAGCCGAGGGTATCTTCTGGGAAATCAGTCTGTCAACTAGTAAATTGTGCAACGTGTACTTACTGTTCTTTTGAAAATCCTGTGACTCCTCTTCCGCTAGGGTGCCTTCCGGCTGCAGACATAGCAGCAACAGCAACAACATCACCGAAACGACAATTGAAACCGTGCTCCCAGTGTCCAGCAGCGTTCGCGTTCGTGATTTTCGATGTGTATTGTGTTGTTGCTGTTGCTCGTGCTGTTGCCAATCGGTGAATGTTGTTGTTGTTGATGTTTTGAGTTGCATTTTTGTGGTTGCTGCTGCTGCTGTTGCTGTTGCAGTTGCACTTGTTGTTACCGTTTCGTGTGCTGTTATTAAAAACTGCATTGTAATCATTGCGTTGTGCTCGAACACAGAAACGTCTCGTCATTTATGTGGCAAACTTCAATTTGGACAATGAGTCAAAGCAACGAAACCAAAACCAGGGATACCAATAAAAATGGCCGCAATACATGTGGTTGCCGCGACGTTAATAGACAGACGCCGTTATTCTCTTGTGCCGCGCTTGTGTGTGTGTGGCGTTTCGTAAGAGCTGCTGTTGGCTATTTCCGTTTCCGTTGCCGTTTCCGCTTTTGACTTTAATGAAGCGCCAACGCTCATTTAGTTCGCTTTCACTTCAAGTTGGCCCATAAAAAAAAAACACTCGCATTTCAACTGGCATTTATATGTGGCTCAGCCGTTGGTTTCTTTTAGTGGTTGCTGTTTTTGTGCTCTGCTGCCACGGGAATCTTAATGTCCTTTTACATGTTTATTTGCACTTTTATTGCCTTTTTGGCATAGCAGATTTGAGAAGTCCCTCGACTGCCGCACTGCAAATAGAAAAGCAAAAATATAACATGAAACATGAGCTCCAGAGTAACTTCTAGGGGTTTGCTTTCACCATTCGGCAACCCAATAACCAAAGCCAGACAACAGCTTTGATCAAGGCAATTGCTGGCCTTGGTTATACACTCACAAAGGGTATCGCAATATAATTTCGAATTATTTGACGCTCGGAAAGAGACATCTTACACCATAAAATGTATACATATTTAAAGCTTCAATTACGAACAGCTACCATGACCGAATGGCTCCCATAGTCGGACAATTTTCGACCACGCAAGCTTTTCATAATTTATGCAATTCAGAAATCTATTCAGAGCTTTACAATGACAAGAAAAAATATTTCTTATTCTAAAGAAAATATTAAATTATAAAGAGAGAGAGAGAGAGAGAGAGAGTGATAACAATGGCTTGCCATTTGTCTGCCTTCTTGATGAAACATAGGACAAATTAATAGGCGACTTCTGCAGCTCAATGTCTGCAAGGGTATTTATTCGTCGACAAACAATAAATCTAACTAGCCAATCTTGTTGTTGTTATTGCTTTAGCAAAATATGAAAAGTGCTAATAAAATATTTTTACTGACTTGCGAGGCACACACATCAAGCAAATTGAACTCGTAAACTTGGCCGCCGCCAAAGGGTAAGCGGCAGACTTTACTGGCCTGAAACTGGCTCCGTAGTTGGATATCAAATTTGATATTTTATGTGCCCAGCGCATCGATGAAGTGTGATTAATGGCGCATTTCAATGTGAGTCTTGTAATTAAGGCCACCGACGTAGATTTATGAGTGTTGCTGCTGTTGCCACAGCTGTGCCAGCACGGCCTGCAACCAATACACCTTAATCCCGGCTGCTCTATTGTCCGGCTAAATGTTGCTGCTGTTGCTGACTTTAAACTGCGTGCTAAGCACGAGCGTCGGTCATTAAACAACGCATCAAAATTGATAAACCAACCCCCTGGCCACAGAAATAGTAGCATCAAGCACCCCCAGCCACACCCCCGTGCTCAACCCCAGCCCTTATCTTTGGCAGCGCGTTGTTAGCCAAGCGTTGCAGCCACGCATGTGTCATGGTTTGTTTGGCTTTGGCCCAATGTGGCTGGCTGCATTAATGAAGTGAGGATGGGCGCGACAAGAGCGGCGACAGGCACGCAAATGATTTTGATCCTGCTGCGGCTCACCTTACGCCCCGAAATGCGTAATTATGCAACATTTTCCGCATTTTTATGAACTTTGAAGAGGTCTTTTGATTAAAATGACAACCGAACGCAATGCGAGGAAAACAGAGGTACGGTTGCTGCTGACTGCCTGCCGAGCCATTTGCCGTTTGCATTTAATTGCATATTTACTTATGCCTCCATAAAAAGTTGTTACCTTTTCGATTCTTGTTACCTGTAAATAAGTGAACAAGCACAAGCAGTCGACAGCTTGAAAGCAAAAACTTTGCTCATTAGTTAATTTCATGTCGGCAGCATATGGTCCAAAGGGGGAAACAGAAAAAATAGGTACATATACAATGAGTAGTTTCTGGCGTAGCTGCTGCTGCTACTCTTAGCAGTTAGTTAGCATATTTTATTACTGATTAATTAACTCGGAAACATTAGCTAGCTGCGCAGAGTCCTTGCATTAGACAAGGCCTCTGCCCTGGACGAGTCATTGAAATTGAACTTGGTGGATTTGTTAATTAAAAAAGTTTGCCGGCACATGAATACGAGGTGTGATTCCTTCCTCTTCCCGTTCCTTTTCTTTGTGTGTGTCTGTTGCACAACTTTTGACATCAATTGACAGCACTGAACACACACCAGTCTGGCCAGCGGGCGCATTAACTGTCCAGTAGTGCCATTTTGCTCGAGATTCAGATTATTTTCATTTATAAATAGCTTGGCTACGTTTCGACTATTGACTGCAAGAAACAGGATCAGCGTTGTCTGCATCAAAAGCCGACTACAGCTTTGGCATCTCGCCTATTTTTGTATTTCGTTTCGAGCTCGACCCAAGGGCAATTATATATTTGCTTGTTTTCGACTATTGATTGGCTTTTTGCCCAGGTGTGCCTTCGTCTGAAACAACACTTGCCTCCAGCTCTCTGCAGTCTGAAACATGACTGAGTCTTGGGCCTTGAGCCCTGAGCCATGTCAAATTACCGCAGCTACTCCATCATGTTTAATTCAAGTCTTGGCAGGTGTACCCACCCGCGCACACAAGACTAGCTGCTCGGCTACGGCTGTGGTTGACATGGAGGCGCGTAAATTTATGAGCGCATGCTCAACTTTCCCATAAATGTTCATCACAATGTGACACAATTTCCCCAAGATTTAACGCCGCATCAACCCAGGCGCCCAGCCATCGAATGAGTCTGAGCCATTGGAATGCGAACGGGTATGCGAATGTCATGGCCATTGTCATGCCTTGTGTGCAATTCGCATGCTTCATAAAGTTGCTAGGCGCATAACTCGTTTTACTTTTTCTCCCACACAGCAGCTGATGGCAGCTAAGAATATAATAAGAAATATAAATTCTAGCGCAAGTCAACGCGTTGACACACGCACACACACACACACACACACACATGTGCACACACATACATTATACAGATAGACATAGCATTGCTTCTTATCAAAGCCAAGACAAGACGGGACAGCTGGCACTGAGTCATGACGGGCAATCACAGTCCCTGCACTGACTGGGCCTTAAGACAGTGCCAGAACCCTACAGCAACAGCAGCGACTGCAATTGCTGCTCCTCTATGTAGGGTGTCTGTCTCTGTATGTGTGTGTGAGTGCGTGTGAGTTGATGTGTGATATCATAAGCATGCGTCTGACAAGGATAAGCACCGCTACTGTCACTGTCGCAGCAGCAGCAGCAAAAGCAGCAGCCCCTGGCGACAATGCGTGCTATTACACCGCGCGGCATACTTTTAGCGCCACTCAAAGCACATTTCACTTTCATTGTGTGCGTGCGTCTGTGTGTGTGAGTGTGCAAATAAAAGTTGAATTATGACAAAAGGCATGCATCCGGCAGCAGCGGCAACAGCAACAATAACAACAACAGCAAGACCAATAACAACTATGGCCTGATAATGTGCTCTTCACCCATCACCTTGGCTCGTCTTTAAGCGTGTGTTTACTTAACGCGTGCGTTTGATTGTGTGTGTGTGCCGTTTAACATGTCGTATGCGCAATTTGTGAAATATGTGAGCGCTTTGCCAGCCAGCATGAGCAATGAGTTGCCAGTGTCTGTGTGTGTGTGTGTGTGTGTGTGTAGTGTGTGAGTAAGCAATTAGTTGCCTTTTCAGCGGAAATAAAAGCAAATCGTGCGAAAGTTCAGTAGGGGGTTAAACACACAGCAGCTCATTAATATCCTTTATGCGTTTATTACAGCAGCCGACAGCATCTTATGAAAAACATTAATAAATGCGCAACGCCAGATCTAACAGAAGCAATAGGAACAACAATAACAGGCAAAAATACTTATTGGATAAACAAAGGGAAAGCGCATCACGTACGGAAATCCAAATCAATCAGACAATGCAATATTATTAATTGTCCTAATACGTTCAGTTAGCCAAAAATCATTAATTTGCGATCATTAATCGACAAAGCTCGCACATTGGTATAATTGAAAATATATGACATATTGCCCTAAATTAGTTACGGTTATAGTCCTTTGATCCTAACCCCAACGAAGTGCAGTTTAACCAGCTGACCTTTTGGCCTGAATCACAATTTTTTCAGTCTGACTCAGTTTTTCATGAATTTTTAAAAATACTTTTTCTTTTATATTTTTATATCCTTTACCAATTGAAACTAGGTAAAAAGGGTATAATGGTTTTGTGAAAATGCATGTTACAGGCAGAATGAGACGTCTCCGAGATCATAAAACCCACACGACTTTCATTCTTTTTCGCAATAATTCATACTAATCGAACTATTAACACCAGAGTGAATCGCAAAAAAATAGTATATCGTATGTGTTCTTAAGTATGTGTATATAGAAGGTAGCTAGAATGTTTGTAATGACAACTTGGCGCTGGGTTCAGAGCATCTCCTAGTCGGAAACTGCCCACCAGTGGACAATGGGTTTTTTTTTCAATTTTATTTTGGGCACGCGTCCAGTTTAAACACACACAGACGCACTCGTAACCATACACACACTATTCATGCATAAATCAATTAATTTATTCTGCACTCGTTCGTTTTTCCATTTCATACCCTTTAGATATAAAATGGGTTAAAAACGGGTACATTATTAACTATTTATTATTCTTCATCAGTAATTACAGCTTGGTTGGTAGCTTATGAGTTTGTCAATCTTTGAGAATATTAGATCTAGAAACTC